TAAAACTAGTAGATTATTGACCATATATAAACATGTCATAAAGTATACAAGCAACAATGAACAATAACAATCTGTTTTCATTACACAACCGCTTTCAGAGGAAGATTTTAATGGCATCATCACCCTATTTCATTCCTTCACTAAATTTTTCGGAGGCTTTAGTGAATGTTGTCCCCCATTCATAACATATTCTTGTTTTTTCCACCACTTCTTCAGTTGTTTCCTTTATTCCACCAAATCCTGTAATATTTTAAAAGAAAACCAATTGCGCGTTCCTTCTATTTTTTATATCAGTTATTTATTTAGTGTGCTGTGTTTCTCCAAGAATGGGGCCCAAGATAGCTTTCGGAGATAATAAAACTAACACATTATGATAAAATGTAAAAAAAAATTACTTCATAAAAACTTTTAAAATTCAATTAAAATTACAGTTTCTTTTAAAAAACAAAAGTGTGATAAAAGTCTACTTCATATCATGTTGTTGGCCAGCTTGAGTCCCTATATCTGGAGGAAGGCAGAATAAAAATAATGCAAATAAATAAATAAGTGAAACGTAATTGCTGTCATGAAAAGTTCTTTGTCTGGAAAAATGTTTAAAATATTTTTATTGAAAATAATGTGTGAACCTATAAGTAAACTTATAAAAGCACCTTTTTACATTTTGATCCCAAGGATACTGACAATATGAATATAGATGTCTGGGGCCCCTTCCACACAGCTGAATAAAATCTTACATTGTCTGTTTTGAACTGGGATATATGGCAGTGAGGACTCAGGGCCTCCCCACACAGCCATATAACTCAGAATATCATGACAGAAAATCCTACAAGATCTGCTTTGAACTGGGTTATCTGAATCCACACTGTCATACAGGCCCGTAGCCAGGATTTTGATTCGGGGGGGCTGAGTTTTATTGGGGGGGGGGCTGAGTCTGGGTGAAAGAGGGCCTACCCTAGCAAACCTTTTGTATGGTTACCCCAATACCCCCATACATATGGGATATATTGAGAATGGTGATCAGATCATGATATTAATAAACATAACAGTTTAAATAATGTACCAGTAAGGCCTTCTTGCGGACCACCATGAGAATTTCGGGGGGGGGGCTGACGCCCCTATAGCCCCACCCCCCACCTCCCCGGCTACATGCCTGCTGTCATATATCCCAGTTCAAAGTAGACAATGTGGGATTTTCTGCCTTGGTATTCTGGGTTATATGGCTATGTGGAAGGCCCTCAGATAACCCAGTACAAAGCAGATATTGGGGGATGTTTTGTCTTGATATTCTGGGTTATATGGTTTTGTCCGAATGTACTGTTATCTTTGAAAAGTAACTTCCTCTCTGCAGCACTGTGTTCTTGAATAATCAGCATTTTCTGTAAACATAAGCCTACTATAGAAACGGGCTAATATGGTAGTAAATCAGGACATATGGCCATTGTGGGAACATCTCTGAACACTATGGTATGGGCTGCTTTTTCCACATGTAACACTCTTGCATTTCCCATTCTTAATCCCGCTGTTTAAATCTCAACTGACGTGTTTCCCTGAACAACTCCATTTTTGCCATAGGGAAGTGTTCACACGGAAACAGCCCAGATCTGCATTTATTGTGGAATGAGAGCCGTTTGACACCATTTTCGCTGTCATGGCTGAATGACCACAGAGTAATGGGAACTGTTATCTTACAAGCTCTTTTTAGGCTTCTCTGGCAAAGAGGGCTGGGGCTTCAGCAAACTATAGATCCCACAGTTCCCTAGGATGGAGCCCTGGCAGTTCGAGCTGTATTAATTCGACCTCCCCAGAGAACTCTCAAGCCGCTTTTTTATTGGTTTAAGAAGCCAGACATAATGTTTGTTTGTTTTTTGGCGACTTTGTGGTGCCTGGATTTGAACTGTCAGCACCACTTTCCACAAGAAAGGAGAGTAGGGGAAGGCTACCTCTGTCACCTTATAATTCAGCTGATAAAGAGAACGTAAAAGCGAGCTCCATTTCGTCTAAGACAGAGACATATATAATATATGTATTGTTATTGGGAAAGGGAGGGGGCGTCAGGAGCGAGCGAGCACCTGTGTGCACGCGCGCCCTCGCTAGCCGTTATTATTTCGGCTGGAAAGGGGGGGGGGGAGCGCGCGACGCTTTGGCAGGAAAGTAGGAGAGGGGAGGCTAAAGAGCCAAAGGAGGAAAGAGGCGGGAAAGAGCTCGAGGCGATAAGCCTGGCTCCCAACGGAATTTAACGGTCGCCTGGTCTTTTGAAAGCGCGCGCACGGGGGAGGGGGGGTGTGCGCGCGCGAGGGAAGGAGAAAGAGAGCGCCACTCTGAGGGAAGGATCCCCCCCCCCCCCCAAAAAAGTCAGGCACATTCACACAATACATTTACACAAGGAAGTGCAGTTTGACAGCACTTTTAACTGTCATGCCTCAATGCTGTAGAATCATGGGAGTTGTAGTTTAGCTACAGACCTTGTAAGACTACAGCTCCCAGAGTTTCCTAGCATTGTGCCATGTCGGTTAATAAAGTGCTGTCGGGCTGCACGAACTCTACAGTGCAGGTGCATCCAAATACCCAACTTTTGAGATTTTTCGGAGAGGATGATCTCCCGAGCTAATGAAATAAACAGGATTGCTAAAGATACACACCAGAGAGGTCATAATCCCCAGAGGAAAACTTTTAAAACCACACCATCTCAAAAGTCCATAAATTAGCTGATAAAAGTGAAGGAAATCTGTACTTGGCTGAACCAGGGTACCACTACAAAGAGGATAAAATCCACAGTTTTAATATACAAAGTAATTCATCATAGGTTTCATCTATCAGCTGCAGTTAGGGCCATGGAAAGCAAATAGAGCAGACATGGGCAAACTTTGGCTCTTCGGGTGTTTTGGACTTCAAATCCCACAATTCCTCAGGCCCTTTCCTTTCCCACTCAGCCACTTAAGCCTGAGGCTGTTAGGAATTGTGGGAGTTGAAGTCCAAAACACCTGGAGGGCCCAAGTTTGCCCAAGCTTGGTCTATCATAACACTTCAGCAATGACATTTAGCTTTCATATATCAGCTGCAGTTAGGGGTTGCAGATACAGCAGACATGGGCAAACTTTGGCCCTTCAAGTGTTTTGGACTTCAACTCCCACAATTCCTAACAGCCTCAGGCCCTTTCCTTTTTCCCCCTCAGCCGTTTAAGCCTGGGGCTGTTAGGAATTGTGGGAGTTGAAGTCCTAAACATCTGAAGGGCCAAAGTTTGCACATGCCTGTTCTATCATCATCGTAGAAAACTGGGCTACTTGGAAGGCACTGAACTGCGGCTTCCTTTTCCTTCCATAAGCAGCTGAGGAGGGAAATGAAAGGGCCTGAGGCTGTTAGGAATTGTGGGAGTTGAAATCCAAAACACTTGGAGGGCCCATTTCTGAAAAAGAGGCATTTCAGATTTTAGTGATGCTGTGTTAGGTAAGACCTTGTGAAGGCTGCATGTTCTTATTTCCAGAAAAATAGAAATTAGGTGAAAGTTTTGAGGAATGGAACTCTCCTTCCGCTGTATAGAAAGAAACCTGCAGATGAGATGCTCTTTCCAAAAGGTTTCAAGCAGAGATTTCCAAATTGCATCGCCATGCGTTGGTGTATGGCTGCAGTGTGTAGGTGTGCCTCGTAAACCTAGGGAGAAATATCTGAGTCTATGTGAAATAAGACATACCATGTCGCGTGCATTTTTGTGCAGCCAAAGTGCTGATTAGTATGCTTTACTCATGTATTCCAAAGATCTTGGAAATGTATGTTATTACCCTACAAATCATGTATCTGTGTCCTCATGCATTTTGTTATTACAGTTTATGTATATGTCCATATCTCTTAAAAGAGGCTGTTCTCACCTCTGGTTTGCTAGTAAGGCACATCTAAAAAGAGCTTTAAAATGTTTGGAATGCTCTGGTTTCAAGAAATGGATACATCATAACAGCTGATCTCTCACCTTTGTCTAGTTTGACCATAACACAAGGGAAATACAGGCATTCCTCAAACTTGTAGGAGTATAGTGTCTAGATCCAGGGAAGTCATGCTACCCCTCTAGTCTGTCTTGATCACACCACACCTGGAATAATGTGTCCAATTCTGAGCACCTCAATTGAAGGGAGATGTTAACAAGCTGGAATGTGTCCAGAGGAGGGTGACTAAAATGATCAAGGGTCTGGAGACCAAGCCCTATGAGGAGTGGTTTAAAGAGCTGGGCATGTTTAGCCTTCAGAAGAGAAGGCTGAGAGGAGACATGATGGCCATGTATATGAGGAGAAGTCATAGGGAGGAGGGAGCCGGCTTGTTTTCTGCTGCCCTGGAGACAAGGATGCAGAACAATGGCTTCAAACTACAGGAAAGGAGATTCCACCTGAACATTATGARGAACTTCCAGAACACAGTCTGTTCCGGACTGTGGTAGAGGCTCCTTTGGAGGTTTTTAAACAAAGGCTGGATGGCCATCTGTTGGGGGTACTTTGAGTGCGATTTCCCTGCTTCCTGGCAGGAGGTTGGACTGGATGACTCACAAGGCCTCTCCCAACTCTATTCTGTTGTTCATTGTTCTAAGGTAAAGGTTTCCCCCTGACATTAAGTCCAGTCGTGTCTGACTGGGGGGGTGGTGCTCATCTCCATTTCTAAGCCGAAGAGCCAGCGTTGTCCATAGATGCCTCCAAGGTCATGTGGCCAGCATGACTGCATGGAGCGCTGTTACCTTCCCACCAAAGTGGTACCTGTTGATCTACTAACATATGCATATTTTCTAACTGCTAGGTTGGCAGAAGCCGGGAATAACAGCAGGAGCTGTCCCCGGTCCCCAGATTTGAACTGTTGTCCTTTCGCTCAGCAAGGTCAGCAGCTCAGCAATTTAACCCACTATGCCACTGGGGGCTCCATTGTTCTAGTGATGTGCTATATAAAAAGAGTACTATCATATTGGAAGCATGCATTCATAAACCGGGAATAAAAATCTTTGTTATCATTATACAAACAAAATCAGCTTCTTTGCCACAAAGGACAAAATTGAGAGTGCATTTATTAAATATACACCATTTGGAAATGCAGCCCTAGACACAATATGTTTTATGTATTAAAATAATAGCTATATGTTCATATATGCCATTTGCACTACAATAAAGTTCAGATGTAGAAGGGGAAAATCATTAAATACGAAGATAACAGATATAAAAACTTCAACACATTTTAAGGCACATTTTTTTACAAACGCGCTTGAACTAAAGACAGTATAGTAATTTCTGGGGTTTTGTTTCACCCAGAAAATAATAGTAAGATATAAACTGGCTGTTAATTTATCACAAAATGTTATCATGACTCATTCATACAAAACTGAATGAGCAACTGCAACTAAAATTTTGAAGCTTATTTATCACATATTCTTTTGAAATCCATTGGAAATTTTGGTTGCAATTGCAACTGAAGACCAGATCATTTAAATTTTAACAGAACTATAGAAAAGTTGAGTCATGAATAAACATAGTCATTATTTGAGTCCAATACACACTGTAGCTGTGTAAAGATAGCCACGGAAACATGGTAATCTTGAAATGGCAAATTATAAATAACATATATTGTGCATCCTTTCCTTGAATATTTGTTTAGGTATTTATTGGATATCTAGTTTAGTGGCTTGCAGGGTGTGGAGAGAGCATGCAGTAAAGTTCAATGTGTTATGCATCTCCAGTGAATCTTGAGTCTTAATGGGAAGATTTAATTCAAGAAATACAGAAACTGCATTAAAAGTTTTAGTCTTGTTCATTCAAGTGAACTGATAAATAAATGGAAAGGGTAATACCATGCACTGCTAGTTATTAGAATTTGATTTGTTGCTGAAATGAAAATATTTGTCTATATTGGGCATATCTTCTAAGAAAACCATAGTCATTGACTATTAAGACCATGTGTTAGTTCACCAGAAACTAAGTAATTGTTACAATATTGTTGGCTATATATTTTATTTCTTTTGTAATATAGAGTTTCAATTATCTAATCCATAATTTCACACATTTGTTCCTTAATTAGAGTTATCTGGAAATGAAGTACTGCTAATAATGTCTAGTATAATTTCTAGTATGTAATTGCTTTGGAATACACAACTTTGGCAAAAAAAAAAGGCAGGATGTTTGTCATGTAATGACAGGTTTAGAGATTATATATGCATGTGATCAGCACTATCAACTTCTGCTATGGATTCAATGTTTCCAGTTTCACTCTAAGCTTGTAACTGTAAAAAACTGTAAAAAAAATTAAACATATTAGTGGCCAACCGAGTCCCTTGCTTTTCTGATGTACTGCTGTTTATATATGCGTTTTCAGCTGCTAACCTTTTTCTATTCGTTGGTCTTAGTGAAATAAAACTACTTTTCAGAACTTTGAAAATATCAGAAAGTATGTGTAAAGAATTCAATGCTTCCAGAACCATAACATCTTAAACATCTTCCAGTTACCTTCTCAGTTATGGCGATAATGTGGTAAAGATAAATTGTGCCCATTTTTACCTTTTCAACAGCATAAAAACAGAACTGTATGTTTTTGGAATATAACAATATTTGTATTGATCACAACACAGCATACTTAAAAGAGTCTGTAGCCATTTAACATAAATGAGATTTTTAAAAATACAAGAACTAAATAATAGCATGTTTTAGAAAAACATAGTATTAGAACATTTTAGGTAATTAGTAAACTATTTAGTGTAAGTCCCAGATTTCACAAAGTAAAGAGGTTGGCTTAGGATCCCTTGTTCTCCAAGTTACTAGTACTTCTGAGTGGTTATGATTGAGGGTCCTGAGTTCAGTGAGACGCCCTATGAGACGGGCAAAGTGTTGTGGCTCATCAGGGTGAAAGATTTTTGAATACTTGTACAAAATTCCTAAGAAGGGTTCCTGGAGTTTATCCACATGGTCCTTGTTTTTTAGGAGTGGACGATCTGAAAAACATGAAAAATAACATTTCACAAGTTTGGCCACATCTGAGTCTTGTCAATGGCTTCTGAGGCCATATTTAAAACAGTGCATGATTAGATGCCTGGGCCAGGTAATTTGTAATGCTATTTATTAGAAAATGCCATTGTATATTTTTGGATTTTATTAATTGCACCATTAGAAAATGCATAAGTTTATGGGGTAAACTACCACTCCCATCATCCCACCCACCCTCACCCCCCCCCCCCTGCCAAAACACCACTAACAGTTAAAGTTAGGCGTGATGGGTATGTGTGATCCAGATCCATCATCAGTGGGGTTCGCGGTGGTCTCTGGATGTGGGTTAACTCCCAACTGCCATCGTCCCAGATCAGTCCCCGCCCCAAAACCACAGCAGTACTTAAAGTCGGTCATGGGGGGTGGGGGGGTGGGGTGCCAAGTTTGGTCCGGATTCATTATGGTGGGGTTCGCAATTGTCTTTGGATATGGGTGAACCGTAATTCCCATCATCCCAGAAAATACATATTTTTCTCACACACACACGCATGATTCCATCTATAGAACATTTAAAAATCAATCTCTACACCAGTCTGCTTTCAGAAGATTTGGGGGCATTTTCACAATTATTTTGTCTCCTGGTGATATTTTTCATTTTACGCTGAGCTTTCAGACAGCATGGTACTTCCTCTCTGCTAGCAGAGAGACAGCTCTTAACCTCTCCATCAAACATATCCTAACCTCTTATACCAAGCAACATCTGGTGATTAAGATTGCCTTCTTATATAAATTAAAACATGCTTAGTATGAGAAAAACATGCTTGTCCTAGTGGTATAGATTTCTCAAAAGTCTGCCGTTTGCATGAGTAGTAATCTATTTTATGCATGAATATAACAGATTGCCTGCTGCAAATATTAAATCAAGCAAGAATAATTGGCATTTCATCCCAACTGATGGTACAAGTTAAGACCTAATAACTATACTATTTTGAAAAAATATTCAGAGATAACTGTTGGCTGTGCAGCAAAATACAACAAAACACCAAGTCCACAAACAGCAATAACCAATAATGTATTGTTGCTTGTAAATTTTTGATTTTTATATATTACATTATTCTGAGAAATTCAATTATCAACAATTGAAATAAATGAAAAGATATTTGAATTATTATAATTATCATCATATTTGTGACAGATCTCAATACAGACAGCTTTATTTGAAAGTATTCCCTTGCAGTATTTTAACATATAGCATATATAATAGGCACTGTATGCTGCTATTTATTATGCCAACATTGCTGTAATTCATTCTTTTGGATGCATTCGCTTTGTCAAATACACTTTTGCTAGTTATGTCTATTTGTGAAACACATGACTTCATCTTGTTCACAACATGTTCACTTTTAGTATTTTAAATCAGAGCGTATATAAAGGTGCTTATTATACCTGAAAAAAACACAGTAGTTGCCACAAGCAACGCATATTCTGTCTCAGTAACGTTTAGTTCTCCCATGCTTCTGTAGAAGTAAAAGAGTGCAGTGATAAACTCCTCAGTAATACCTGCCAAAGAAGAAAGAAAAAAAATCTCAAATTATAGTTTTATGATTTAATATTGGTTTATTTTTACCTATACTTTTTATGTAAAATAAATCATGCTAAATCCAAGCAGTGATCTGCTTCAAAATCACCAATATCATAGAGTATATCTGCACTGTGTGCCCCCTGGTGGCACAGCTGGTTAAACCACTGAGCTGCTGAACTTGCTGACTGAAATCCGAAGGTTTGAATCCGGGGAGTGGGGTGAGCTCCCCACTGAGGAGCTGGTAGGTTGGTAAAAGCTGTTAGGCCCAGCTTTTACCAACCTAGCAGTTCAAAAACATGCCAATGTGAGTAGATAAATAGATACCACTTCTGCGGGAAGGTAACAGTGCTCCATGCAGTCATGCTGGTCACATCACCCTTGGAAGTGTCTACGAACAACAGTGGCTGTTTGGCTTAGAAATGGAGATGAGCACCACCCCCAAGAGTCGGACATTACTAGACTTAATGTCAGGGGAAATATTTGCCTTTACTATCTGCACAAGAGAAACATTTACCTTTACTATCTGCACCTTAACTTATATAGCTCAATGGAAATCAATAGAGGTATAGTAGTTTTACAAGGTCTTTAGCCTTCTCTGCTAAAGAGTGCTGGCTCCTCATCAAACCACCGCTCCCACCAATCCATAGCATAGCATTGAGCCATGGCAATTAAAGTGCTGTTGAACTGCATTAATTCTACTGTGTAGATGCACTTAGAGACAGATAACTTGCTATTAAAAACCTATAAATCTAGCATTTTTATGAGATTTTTAAACTTTCCAAAATTATTTTTATTCAGTGATGTAATGATTGACTAAATACATATACTCTGAAAGAGAGAAATATAGACTACATTTAGTCTATCATTAAATCACTGGGGTCAGTGTGGTAGGTTGATTTGAGCATTGTATTACAACTCTGGAAACCAGGATTTGAAACCTTGATCAGCCATGAAACCCACTGGGTGACCTTGGGAAAGTCACATTCTCTCAACCCCAGAAAACCCCATGATAGGTTCTTTATAAGTCGGAAAGGACTTGGGTGCATACAATAACAACAAAGACAATCACACTCTGGAAGTCCCCATTACCTGTTGTACTGGTAGATGTTGGACTTTCTTCAGTACAAGACATTTCTATGGAGTAAGTACTTTTATCTTGACCGCATATAGCATGGTCAGAAAATTTTACATGACCTAGAGTAAGGGAAATGAAAGTCCATAACTTAACTCTAAAAAATTTTATCATGGAGATATATATTTTCTAATATCATAAAATTCTGTCATTTAACAAAGTGATGTGAGAGAAGCATTTATCCTGAGAAAGTATGCAGTAGTTGGGAAAGTCTGTCTGGCAGGAAATAACTTGCCTCATGACAAGCATGAAGTAAACTGATTTCTAAGACATTATTTAAACTGTGAATACTATAACTTACTTTGCATGAATGATGGCTGACATTCAATTCCTTGTTCATTATAGATCTGGGCAGAGCGTAAAAACATTGCTTCAATTGTTGAGCCTTTCAACAAGGCTATCTGATCATCATTAGCTAAGCTTTCAAACCCTATGCAGAAATAGAAAGGCAACAGAAATTACATCAGTCCTTTCAATAGTGGGTATACATTTGGAATTTGACTTATGGTAGCTCTTCTGTGAAACAAGCTTTTTAAAGTGAGTCTACAAAAATATAGGCATAATCCTGTATTAAAGTTTGAAAGTTAGGCAGCAATTTGCCCTGTATAATTTTAGTTCATTTCATATTGTGAAAATTTTCACTTTGTTGTTGTTCATTCGTTCAGTCGTCTCCGACTCTTCGTGACCTCATGGACCAGCCCACGCCAGAGCTCCCTGTCGGCCGTTACCACCCCCCAGCTCCCTCAAGGTCAGTCCAGTCACTTCAAGGATGCCATCCATCCATCTTGCCCTTGGTCGGCCCCTCTTCCTTTTGCCGTCCACTTTCCCCAGCATAATTGTCTTCTCTAGCCTTTCCTGTCTCCTCATGATGTGGCCAAAGTACTTCAACTTTGTCTCTAGTATCTTTCCCTCCAGTGAGCAGTCGGGCTTTATTTCCTGGAGGATGGACTGGTTGGATCTTCTCGCAGTCCAAGGCACTCTCAGAACTTTCCTCCAACACCACAGCTCAAAAGCATCGATCTTCCTTCGCTCAACCTTCCCTAAGGTCCAGCTCTCACATCCGTAGGTTACTACAGGGAATACCATGGCTTTGACTAGGCGGATCTTTGTTGCCATTCTGATGTCTCTACTCTTTACTATTTTATCGAGATTGGACATTGCTCTCCTCCCAAGAAGTAAGCGTCTTCTGATTTCCTGGCTACAGTCTGCATCTGCAGTAATCTTTGCACCTAGAAATACACAGTCTGTCACGGCCTCCACGTTTTCTCCCTCTATTTTCCAGTTGTCAATCATTCTTGTTGCCATAATCTTGGTTTTTTTGATGTTTAGCTGCAACGGCTTTTGCGCTTTCTTCTTTCACCTTGATTAGAAGGCTCCTCAGCTCCTCCTCGCTTTCAGCCATCAAAGTGGTGTCATCTGCATATCTAAGGTTGTTAATGTTTCTTCCAGCAATTTTCACCCCATCCTTGCATTCGTCAAGCCCCGCACATCGCATGATGTGTTCTGCATACAAGTTGAATAGGTTGGGTGAGAGGATACAACCCTGCCGTACGCCTTTCCCAATCTTGAACCAGTCTGTTGTTCCATGGTCAGTTCTGACTGTTGCTACTTGGTCCTGTACAGATTCCTCAGGAGAGAGACAAGGTGGCTTGGGATGCCCATCCCACTAAGAACTTGCCACAATTTATTATGATCCACACAGTCAAAGGCTTTAGAATAGTCAATGAAGCAGAAGTAGATGTTTTTCTGAAACTCCCTGCCTTTCTCCATTATCCAGCGGATATTGGCAATTTGGTCTCTCGTTCCTCGACCTTTTCTAAACCCAGCTTGAACATCTGGCAACTCTCGCTCCATGTATTGCTGGAGTCTTCCTTGCAGGATCTTGAGCATTACCTTACTGTCATGAGAAATAAGGGCCACTGTACGGAAGTTGGAGCAGTCTTTCGCATTTCCCTTTTTTGGTATGGGGATATAAGTTGATTTTTTCCAGTCTGATGGCCATTCTTGTGTTTTCCATATTTGCTGGCAAATGGCATGCATCACCTTGACAGCATCATCTTTTAAGATTTTAAACAGTTCAGCTGGGATCCCGTCCTCTCCTGCTGCCTTGTTGTTAGCAATGCTTCTTAAGGCCCATTCAACCTCACTCCTCAGGATGTCTGGTTCTAATTCATTCACCACACCGTCAAAACTATCCTCAATATTATTATCCTTCCTATACAGATCTTCTGTATAGTCTCGCCACCTTCTCTTGATCTCTTCAGCTTCTGTTAGGTCCTGCCATCTTTGTTTCTTATCATACCAATTTTTGCCTGAAATTTACCTCCAATGTTTCTAATTTTCTGGAAGAGGTCTCTTGTCCTTCCTATTCTGTTGTCTTCTTCACTTCCATGCATTGCTTATTTAAAAATAGTTCCTTATCTCTTCTGGCTAACCTCTTGAATTGCGCATTTAACTGGGCATATCTCCCCTTATCCCTGTTTCCTTTTGCTTTCCTCCTTTCTTGGGCTACTTCCAGTGTCTCAGCAGACAACCATTTTGCCTTCTTGGTTTTCTTTTTCTTTGGGACGTACTTTGTTGCCGCCTCCTGAACGATGTCGCGGACTTCTGTCCATAGTTCTTCTGGGACTCTGTTTACTAAATCTAGTCCTTCAAATCTGTTCTTCACTTCCACTGTATATTCGCTAGGAATGTTTGTGAGATCATATCTAACTGGTCTGTGTATTTTTCCTGATCTCTTTAGTTTTATTCTAAATTGAGCAATAAGAAGTTCGTGATCTGAGCTACAGTCAGCCCCAGGTCTTGTTTTCACCGACTGGATGGATGTCCGCCACCTTTGGCTGCAAAGGATGTAGTCAATCTGATTTCGGTGTTGACCGTCTGGTGAGGTCCATGTGTAAAGCCGTCTTTTAGGTTGTTGGAAGAGAGTATTCGTTATACACAGCGAGTTTTCCTGGCAAAATTCTCTAGCATTGCAGATTTAGTTTAGGCACCCATACAAAAAGGTATGGGTACAAATATGATAGTTCTAAAGTACATAAGATGTGAATTCTTTGCATCGTGTCACTGTCCAATTCTAGTGATTTGGGCAATTAAGAACAAATTAATTTTTAAGGATCCGAATTTTTATTCAGAAGGAAAAGGCCATCACTTTGTTCACACTTGTACAAGTACAGGTACGGTCACTGACCAGCACAAAACGAGGCACAAGCGCCCTGGGAGGGGAAGGACAACTCCCCAGTGAAGCAGTTATTTAATACTTGTAGCTAAACCCCAGCTAATGCATATGCTTGAGACAGATCTCAATATTCTGAACATCAATACGCATTCACTTGGTATAGTGTTCAAAGGAACTCTTAAAACACACTTTATGGTGCATTTGCCTCTGTTTTAAAAACAAATGTTGGAACTCACAAAACTCTACTCAAAATCCCGTAGAACTGAGCCCCAGACACGTGTATCAAATTTCACTTCAGTATTTTAAAGATACAAAAATTAACAGACTAGATGCACAGATTTAGAGTAAGATAAAAAGCATACAATCTGTTATGCTAATCAAATTAGTAAAACCATTTTATAAAATTCATTATGGAATATATTACCTGGGAGTCTTTTTGTAAAATCTACAAGTACCTGGACATGAACCATAGCCCTTTCTGAAAGATGTAGAAAATTCTGTTCCGGACTAGAAGTTTCCTGTAGCTAATTAAAATACTAAGGATTAGAAAGATATTAAAAATCAAAATGCCATATTTATATAAAAAAAAGTCTTGCTGATTATATACTATATTTTATAAACACATACAAACTTCCTTGCTTCCTCCAATGGAATTGTGCATTTTTGATGGGCAGCCAAAATATGTTCAATGAGCTCATACTCCCCAGGAGTAAATTCCATTCTCTCCTGTGGCTTTGAAAGAAGGATAGGCATAAATGTCAAGGAAATACCAGTATTCAAATGTAATTATTAAAATATGAAGTGTGACCTTACTTTTAATGGTTTGGTTGTAGAGGATACATGTTTGCTGTCCATTCCTTCATCTTCCAGTTTTATGTTACAAAGCAAGGTAGTCTTTTTTCTGAGACGCTTTGATTTACATTGCACTTCTGTTAACAGACCTATAAAATGTAAAATACAGGCATATCTTGGTTAATAAAAAAGAAATGTTTTAGGGTGTTACTTTTTTAACCTTAAATTTAGTACCAGAAGCAGAAATAATAGATAACAGAAATGGATACGTTTCTACACCATGAAAAAAAAATCAAAACCAATAATATGAACCTGTGAAATAAAACAGCAAGGTTAGGGAAGCATTCATAAAAGATATATTTTAAACTAGAAACTACTTGAAAACTTCCACTAAAATGCATCCATAATGTTTTCACCAGACTCTACTTTTTGTATGATTTGATCTGGTGCCTAGATTTAAGAGAGCTTTCCTTTATTAATATGTTGGGAGTAGCTGGTGAGGCAGGTTCATCTGCAGTTCTCTCTTCTGCAGTTCATGCATGCTCAGTAAAGATTATGAAGGAAGCTCCTATTTCCCTTGCCTGTTGTAGGCCAGCACAGACAGCTACATTAGGATTGGCTGGAGTAGAATCCAGCTTTCCTTAACTATTCTCCCAATGATGATTTTGCTCTGAAAAAAAACATTCACATGGAAGGTAACTCCCATGGAAGGCCCTCCAAAAGCAGATGCTGCTTCATTAAGAGCTTCTTTAGTTATGGAGTCAGTGCTGCAAGCATGTGTTACATCAAAAACAACTTTATTTCAGCAAGATTATTTCATAATCAACCTTCTCACTACTGAGGCTGTGTTAAAGTGCAATCCCATAGTTGTCTTCTCAAAGGCAAGATCTAATTAGATCAGCATGAATGTAGCCTACTATCAAACACAAAAATACTAATACCCAGAACATCTGAATATAAATGCTACTATATTCAAGAAAGATCTGTTTTAGTTTATTCTGGTTTTACTTTTCATATCTATATCATTTTTACAATTCTGTGTCAATATAATATACTGCGTATTATGGTGATCTTGTATATTTGTATTTTTTAACTTATATTAATATCATCCTGTCTTTTAAAACAGCTACAGAAATCTGTGTGTTTAACAAATATAGCAAACAAATCTTTATAAAGATTAGGGAAGAGATCTTGGCTAAAACTTCCAAAAGAGGAGGGGAACTATTTAGTTAGTAGGAAATTTCCTTAGCTGAGCAGCATGTCTGAGAGAAGATTATTATAATATAGGCACTTACATTCAGCTAGCATGCCTACAGCTTTACATTTCTTTAGGCGGCACTCCTGACATTTTCTTCTCATATACATGTCCATTTCACAGTGACCACCGTTCTTGCATCTGTAGATTGCATTTTTCGTAATGCTGCGTCGAAAAAATCCTAGCGATTAATATAATTTGGAATTATGAGAATAAAAATAAGAAGAAACCATACATTTTTCCCCAGCAGGGTTCTTATCTTAACTGGCAAAGACTATTATTTACACAGACATAATAAATAATTGAAGAAGAATATATCAAAATACAGGCAGTCCCCAAGTTATGAAAAAGATAGGTTATGTAGATCTGTTCTTGAATTTGTATGTAAGTCAGAACAGGGACATTTTTTAGGTGTTACTCCAGCCATATAAGGTAAAAGGTTGTCCCCTGACATTCAGTCATGTATGACTGGGGTGTGGTGCTCATCTCCATTTCTAAGCTGAAAAGCCGGCATGGTCCATAGACACCTCCAAGATCATGTGGCCGGCATAACTGCATGGAGCGCCGTTACCTTCCCGCCGCAGCGATACCTATTGACCTACTCACATTTGCATGTTTTTGAACTGCTAGGTTGGCAGAAGCTAGGTCTGACAGCGGAAGCTCACGCCGCTCCCCAGAATCGAACCTACGACCTTTTGGTCAACCAGCTCAGCAGCTCAGTGCTTTAACCCACTGTGCCATCAGGGTCTATATATATTACACTATTTATATTCCGCCCCTCTCACCCCACAGGGGACTCAGAGCGGATTACAATGCACATATATATGGCAAACATTCAATGCCATTTAGACATACGACATATATAGACAGACACAGAGGCAATTTAACATCCCAGCTTTTCCAGCTTCATGGGGTTATGCTCAATTCTGGCCACGGGGGGAGCTGCCGCTTCACCATCCACTTGTGACACTGGGTCCTTTGATGGAGCATTTCCTCATTCTTCTGCATACTGCTGGAAGGTTTTATGTACCATCCTTTGGATAGCATAGGGAAGGGTTAACACCTCTGTGGTGTTTGTTTTACTGTCTGTGTCCCTGTTCAGAAGATTTCACCTTACTTTCTGTCTCGGTGATAACAGAACTTTGAAAAATTTGGTATGTTGTGGAAACGAGGATTGGTGAGAAAGATTCAGTTAAGATACCTTTTCCCTAGATAATTCTTTCAGGAGTGAATGTCCCTTCCTAGGTATAGATTTCTCTCACTTCCCGTTGTCTCTACCCAGTTTTTAGTCTGTAATCATATACCCAATTATCTAGGAGCAGGCCTGAGAACGAAGCAATATAATATTCACAGAGGAAGGCTGTGACCATGTTAAGAAAGGTTGTCCCCAAATGTATTCTAGCCCTTCAGTTCTGAACATGTCCACTGTGCTCAGCCACTGATTGTTAGTTATGATGGTTATGTTTTATGATGTGTTTATATGTATTTTCTTGTTTTATTGTGTGATGTTTTTAATTGTGCTTGGTCCCAATGTAAGCCGCCCTGAGTCCCTTTGAGGAGATGGTGGCGGGATACAAAAATAAAATTATCATCATCAATCCCACAATATTATGTATTGTTGACAAAGCATAAATTATAATAAGCCAGAAATGTTGCATATCTTTATTTATTTATTGCATTTACTATAAATAAATAATTATAAAATTAGATATCATTATAAATGATAAAATTATATATTACTGCAAAGGCCGTGCAGCACAAGTAGCTGCCTGCATGTTCACTTCGGCTTAGCCAGCAAAAACAAGAGTGGAAGAAGACCTGTGCTGGATCAGAGGAGCAACAGGAGCCGGGTTAAGTGGACAGACAGGCGGGCGTCCTTCCTCATTTACAGAGAGAAAAGGAGGAATACAAGAGAGAACCTGCCATCTCTCTTAGCACTTATGTCCCCAAACATTGAAACTCCAGCAGCCTCATCAGCTGAAATTCTCTAGTTCCCACAAGCAATTCTATAGAGATACTGTCAGCATGGTATAGTGGCTTTAGTAGATACCAGGGTTCAAATCTTCAGTAAGCAATGGAAACTCACTGGGTGATCTTGGGCAAGTCACAGTCTCTTTTCCTCTGACAAACGTAAAAACTCCTCAGAACAAATCTTGCCAAGAAAATCCCTTGATAGGGTAACTAAGTTTAAACACCTTGAATGTAAACAACACTGTCAGGGAGGGCTAAGATGCTTATGCTTACCCAAATGGCTAGGTACCAAAGATCAGTACCATAAAGGCTCCTGTGTAATTGAATCCCCCCCCCCCCCCCCGGTTTACAGCTATCTTTGCCTTCATTTAATAGGGTCTTATATGTTTTGCTCTTGATATATGTTATGGTTTGAACAATTTTATAGTTTCATTCATTATTTTGCCATTGTCTTCAAGATAGTCACATTGTTGGTTGCTTTAGTTAGTAATATTAATCACTGTATTCTGTGTTACTGCTATTTTGCAAAAAATGTACATATAAATATGCAAAATTCATATTAAACTGTTTGTTAATCTTGAGCCCCACACAAACACATGCACTTTATCAGTAATTCCAGGACTCCTGCACATAAACCTCTGTTGCTTTGTCTCCTTGGTTTCAAATAACCAATATTTAGACAATCAGTGTTCTATTTTCAAGCCTTTCAAACAGGAGCACCCAATCATAATCACAGTTATTTTCCAGTTACCTTTGCAGCCTTCACAGGTAAGTGCATTGTAATGATATCCAGACGCTTTGTCTCCACAAACCACACAGAGTTCCTCCTGGCCCTTTATTCGCAAGGCTGAATGACTAAGCCTAGGTCGCTTTTGTCCAGAATATCCTCCCCCATCGTGAGCACCCATGCAGGAAGGCTTACTGAGTTCACAATTGCTGATGATGTATTGCCCATCACTATACGGAGAGTCCAAGTTGTGTACACTGTAATGCGTCTGAGGAGATTGTGCCTGTAACATGGGAGGAAACTGAACCGATGAATACTGACAATAAGAAGCAGGCTGGCAGTCAAGGTCTTGCAGAGGATATCCAATGTGTTCTGGCAAAACATCTAGGAAAAAATCACACAAATGGGATATTAATTTTGGATCTAACATCTCTGAATAATAATTTTTTTTTATTTATTCATTCATTCAGTTAGTCACATATTTGTTTCTAACTGAAGGATATTCCACTCTGAAGATACTCCTATACTAACTCGTAGGTTACTTAAAATTAGTAAAACAAAGTACTCCCACACTATTATTTTGCAAAGACACAGCACAGAAAGAAAAAAGAACGAGGAAGGAAAAAGCACAAATTCTTGTAAACAGCCGTATGAAATGAACCACAAACCAAGGCCTTTATGAACAAAATGTAACCGCCAAAAATACCTACATACAAAACTACTTTTGGATCAAACATAAATAACAGAAGAATCAAAGAAGAATATATTTGTGCAGTAAATAACTTCTATAAACAAAAACAAAAGTGCTGATTAATAAATGATATAGGTAGTCCAAATGTCTGATAAGGATAATATTGGTTCAACATTTCAGGTGCTTTTCATCTGGTTTCTGCCAGTTTGACTGGCTAGAATGGAAATATATAGTAGTTGTTTTTGTAGGGCAGGGTGGTTCCAGAGACTGCTCTGCAGACACTATTGCTTGTCATGGAGGGCTTTGCCTCCAGTGAATATTTGATGCTATTATTAGAAATTTCAATGTGTGTATTTACTATTTGAGTCCCTCTAACTTTGAAGGGAGTTACTGTCTAGTGCAGGACTCCACAAACTTTTCAAACAGAGGGCCAGTTCAGTCTTCCAGATTATTGGGGGAATGGATTATAGTCCTCAACCTGGAGACCCACAGGTTGAGAACCACTGCCAAGCATTTGAACAGAGGGTACAGTATTTCTGAATGGGAGAAAGGTGGGAAGCCCAAGACATCAAAAGGGCATGCCTTAAACATTCAAGAAAAGATTATTAAAAAGAAACATTGTGATTTACTGTGAAGTACATAATAGCTGTAGGCAAGGCATTCAGCATAATAACTTTAAGAAAGACATTACAAACTTTCTTGCATACACATTGATTTTCTCTCTCTTATGTTTGACTCACCATAATACTGAATTTGTTCACTAAGGCAGTACCCATCAGGTACTGTCATAAAACCGTTTGCCATGTTCTGCTCCAGTTCCCACTGCTTCATTCAGCTAAAGTGCTCTGTTCATCCAAAGAGCAAACCTAAAGAAGAGAAACACTGCTAGTTATTTTTATTCTTCATGAAGCAAGAGCTGACTGTCTGAAGCAGTTTATGAGAGGAGAAAAAACTTCAGAGATTTCATTAGAAATATCCCTAAATAAAAAAATACCATAGTTTTCACATGATTACAACATCCCATATCATATCGGTGCTAATGAAAATAACCAAGAACATGATTGTATGGTATTTGCCTTGACATTAATTATAAAATCATAACTGTATCTCTTCTTAATACATCTCACCTTTCCATATACTTTCTCATTTGACATTTCATTAATTAGTGTGACTAATGGCTTACCATCTTCCAGACATACAAAATCAGCAGTCCCTCCATAGAAAGTCTCCTCCACTATCTCAGTTTATGCAGTAAAAGGGTGGGTAAAGGGGAAATCTTGCTCTAAGGACACATAACTAAGTCTAGCACCATTACAAATTACTAATTTTGCACTAAAGCTCTGCAGTTGTATGTATGTGTGTGTTGTTTAATAAAAGCAGTAAAGTAAGCATGGTTGGTGAAAATAATTAAGAGATTTAAAGCATCCTGAAAATAGAGATGGTGCAAAACAATATTTACATTCTGAAAAGATCGTAATTGTAACTTAGTGTTTATATTTATTATTGAACTCTTCATTAAAAAATCAATTAAAGCAAGATGTTTAAAATGGGGCTATTTGTGTATTCTGTACATTTTAATTTATAAAGAAGGAAGAGTGCTGGAGTTCTGGGTACAAAACCGTAAAAGTGAACAGAAGTGAAAGTGGCACTTTTTTCTTCCCACTGAAACCTTTCAACTCACCTCAAAAATTGCAGAAAATATCTCTGGATATAAGAGGAAATTGCCTCCTCCCAATCCAATGTTTAAAAAGTGTTGTTGTGTGACTTCAAGCTATTTCTGACTTATGACAACCCCAAGGCAGCCCTATCATGGAGTTTTATTTGGCAAGATTTGTTAAGATGCGAGTTTGCCTCTAAAGTTGGAACAGTGGGACTTGCCCAAAGTCTCCCAGTGGGTTTCCATGCCCAAATGGGGATTCAAATCCTGTCTCCAGAGTCATTATTTAACACTAAATCCATGCTGGATCTTTTTACAATAGTATCTGTGACTACTTTTATTTCTGATGAGGGAAAACTTAATATTCTTCCATATGAAAAAGTAGGTTGCTATAATCATCTTGCTTTAACAGACCAGTCGTCATCTTGCATAACCTTTCTGTTCTGTTTTCTGTTCAGCTTTAAATGACAAAGCCTCTAGTGCTGACTGAGTTGACATGGTGGCATGACACAAAATGTACAGTTTCTTTAGGCACTAAAAAGTTCTGTGCTCTAGTTTTTCTGGGAGAAAAGGAAAACTTCACAGGGATTGAGAAGGTAACTAACCATCAGTTTGACATTGCTCAAGTCACAAGGGTCCAAATGCCAAAAAAGGTAAGGAAGTCAGTCAGTAATGCTAAAGAGGTTCGCCAAGTCAGCATTATTAAAAGAAGCAGTTACAATGATTATAGCAGGAGTGAGAATCATATGGCCATCCAGATATTGTGAGACTGATCCCAATATTCCTCATCATTGATAAAGCAGGATAGAGGTGCTTGGACTTGTAATCCAGCAACATTTTTAGGACTCTTTCTTGATCTCTCATTTTAAGCAATGCTTCTCAAACTACCTAATGTGCAGGATCGAAAGGTTTTCTCTCCAATCTTTCAGTTATCAGTACCACATTTGGGCTCATTGGCTACAACTGTTTCTCTCTCTCTTTCTTTGATTTTTTTTTTCACAGATCAGCATTGAGTGGCTTATAGCTTTGTACCTTTCTACATATCACCATTTTCAGTAGCATAGAAACTATATAATGGGTATATTTTGCTAATTGTAACTTTGGCTATTATTGCTTGGGTCTGTGGGAGCAGCTGATACCACACTAATTAGTGTTTAATTTCCTACAAAACCTTTTGCCACTGCATCCTGTTAATGTTAAAGAATAACCATTATTTTGAAAACTGTCAGTGGGAGCCAAAATCCACTTACTGACCCAAACTAATCCAACAATTATTTGGTGCCAGCCCTCTAGTTTTAATATAATTTCAAGGGAATTGGAATGTAAAAACTTCCTTAAAACTCTTGATTTTATTAAAACAACTGCAAAAGTTGAGAAGCTTACTCATGGCACATAAAACTGTTGTTTACGCATTCCCAAACAGATACATGTTTCTGTCATGTTCACAACCAATGCTCACACAGATGTCCTATTTGCTTTTCCAGTACAAAGTAGCAAAAGATGAAAAGGTATGGCATAAAAGGAATGCTGCCTCATGCTATCTTTACTTGTAAATATTTGTTCCAAATAGAAGTGCCTTGATGAATCATGAAACCATTATCAATGAGATCAATTGTTTAACTGGGCACGTACAAAGTCCACATATTTTAATCTATAGTCATGTATTTTAAAAACAGTTTAAGTACTTTGATTCAAATTTCCATAACAGTTTGAGAATTGCTTACATTACATTTTCTTTAACAGATGTGCTAACAACATTAAAAAAAACCTAGGGAACAATGCAGTCTCTCACCAAATCCTTTACTTCCTCTTCTGTGCAGGATTTCCCTACAAAAGTGGCACATAAACCAGCACTGCCATTCCGCACACTATATACAAGTTGTATCATGCTAGCCTAGCTCAATAAAATATATTTTATGCTATGTACTGAGAAAACCCACTGATTTTAAAATTGAATGATTAAACTGTCTTCCATGACTGTAGAGAAGCATGATGAGATTCCATCACAGAGTGTTCTGGTCCACTCATGCATCTTCTATTTCTCAGAAAGCACCAGTGAGCAGATCAGCCATTGCATTTTAGCTTTACCAATGGGGTCGGTATATACCATCTGCTATTAAACGCCAAGACAGCTTCCCAGCTGATATATGCTTCCAGTTTTTGGACTGGGGGGTTTAACATCTAAGTTAGACAACCAGCAGGCAATGTTTTTGAGGCTCCTTTTCCAGTTCTCCAGGTGTGTCCCAACTTGCATCTTGCTGCTATAATCTGGGGAAATTCCCTGTCAACAAGAGCTTGGTGGTTGGCACTTAAATATTGGCTTATGATCCATGTTTTCAGTTTGGGTTCAGGTCTAACTTATCATCTATCCCAGGATGAGTACACAAGTAGCTGGTTTAAATTTGTTTCTAAAACAAAAAAGACTCTTCTATTGGCCTTTCTTTATCCCTCTTAATTCACCTGGATTTCGACATGGTACTTAAATCTATCAAATGAAGATTGTGGGACATTGCCTTCTGTGAACTGCATTTTTGCTCATATGTTTCTTGTTCCCCAAGCACATTGTTTATACTCTTTGCTGGGCCACTCCACAGAGGCAACTATCTTAAGAATCTGACTTTTGCCAAATATTGCTGCCTAAGTACTTATTCTCCAAGGCAAAATGTAATATGTTCACCTCAAAAATGCTTTGAGGAAGCATTTCAGAGGGTAAGTTGAATGTTTGTTTGTTTTTTCGTGTCAGGAGCGACTTGAGAAACTGCAAGTCACTTCTGGTGTGAGAGAATTGGGCGTCTGCAAGGATGTTGACCAGGGAACACCCGGATGTTTAATGTTTTACCATCCTTGTGGGAGGCTTTTCTCATGCCCCCACATGGAGACCTGGAGCTGACAAAGGGAGCTCAACCCACTCTCCCCAGATTCAAACCACCGATCTGACCATTGGCTAGGGCTGCTGGAAGCTCTGTACAACAAAATCTGGAGAGCTTGATGATACTCACCCCTGGGCTACATGGAATACAAAATAACCGTTTCCTCTCCAACTTAAAGGCTGCATTCCAAATTCAGTAAACAATAAGAGCTTAATATATTATGGAAAAGGTGTAAAATTAATAATATCCTAATTCAATAAATGCAATAGTGATGAACTTTGAAAGATGAAACCTGAACATACAACCTCAAACTCAGCAGAGTTATTCAGCAGGCATTCTTTTTAAACTTCAACAAAGAAATCACTCAGCTGGCAACATGTAATTAATGGCAAAAAAATGTGATGTTTGTTCTAGCTATTACACAATGTAGAGCATAGGTCTTGAAGGAGACCCCCCAGGGAGCGCTTCCAAATGTTTGAAATGACTGTACATTAACATTTATCGTAAATATTTTGACAGTAGTGTCAAAAGGGAACTTTTTTGACCAGAGAGAATTTTAGGAATTTAAGCTGAAAGTCTTCTCGCATTTCTATAGTGCACTCATATCCTGGGAAAGAAAATAAGGTTGCAGCAAAGTCACCAGATTGGGATACATGACTATTTGAATCTTGATTTGGATCCTGACCTAGCCTTTTCTTCAGCTCCAGATCCACAAAAATTGCTGATAACAAATAACAAATAATAAATAATAAATAATAAATAATAATAAATTCCATGCATTCCACAGAATGTGGCCCAACATTAACTAATGAGTACATGATTATGTTCCACATTTCCTATTGATACTATCAGAGGAAACCTTCATCTGTGATTCAAATATTTAGTAAATAAATATGTAATCATCCCCAAAGCAACAAACTTGTATCCTAAAAACATTAAAGCTAATTGGGTTGTTGTAGGTTTTTTCGGGCTATATGGCCATGTTCTAGAGGCATTATCTCCTGATGTTTGGCCTGCATCTATGGCAAGCATCCTCAGAGGTAGTCATTCTTGCCATAGATGCAGGCGAAACGTCAGGAGYGAATGCCTCTAGAACATGGCCATATAGCCCGAAAAAACKTACCACAACCCAGTGATTCRGGCCATGAAAGCCTTCGACAAMACATTAAAGCTAATTATTATTGTTTTTGAACCAAGTGGTTTTTGCTTAATGTATTGTGAACTTATGAGTTTTATTATTTATTTATTTATTTATTTATTTACGACATTTATATGCTGCTCTTCTCACCCCGAAGGGGACTCAGAGCGGCTTACAAGGTATATATACATACAATATATTATGTTGTTATATACTGCTTTAAGGGCTGTCTTGGCGGAAAARGGCTTTGTAAATTAKTGAAATAAAAAATGAAAGTACTAAATAAAGCTGTAGCAGAGTCACCAACTGGGCCATGACCTCAATAAAGCTAAATTCTACCTCAATTGCGACAAAATTTCTACCAAAACAATTATACCTAGACAATAGATGGAAATAGGCTATCCTTTATGTTGACTGACATGTGAGGCAAACACAAAACAAATTTCATCTGTACAGTGGTTCATAGTTTGCAAGTATGCTTGTACACTCCCTGCAAATTACAGTTATGCATGATTGCCACACAGAATAACTTACATAAGGGTTTTATGCTATTTTATCATATTTAAATATCTCTCATGTTTAACTAGCCAGTGTGGTGTAGTGGTTTGAACACTGAGTTATGACTCTGGAAAGGAGAATTCAACCATGGAAACTAACCCCCCTCTGAACAAATGCTGTGAGTGTGCTGGGAACTACTTGAAGACATTCAACAACAAATATAGTATTCCAACTCCATCTCAAAAATCCCATTTCAATTGCTAAATTTTACGCAACTGTCTGCATTCATAAACATTTTATACGATATAAGGATACTTTCAGGTAGTTGCCTTTACTGAGAACAAGCATGTCAATTCATCATACTGGATACAAATAAGCTACACTAAAAATATACAGATCTTTGTGCCGATTGATCCTAGAGCAAATGGAATAACAGGATCCCAAGAGGATGCAAAGTCATTTTAGTGTAAATACCACTGTAGGATGCACTTAATTCTTTTACTGAAACACGTTTTCTACCACTCCTTTCAGGTATCATAGTTTGTGAAAGAGGCAGCAAACTAGACATTCTTTCAGAGGAGGGTTGGCCAGTATAAGCAAGTGAAATTTAAACATCGCAAATGAAATACACAGTAAGGTAAAGGTAGTCCCCTGACATTAAGTCCAGTCATGTCTGACTCTGGGGTGTGGTGCTCATCTCCATTTCTAAGCCGAAGAGCCAGCGTTGTCCAAGGTCATGTGGCCGGCATGACTGCATGGAGCGCCGTTACCTTCCCGCCGGAGCGGTACCTATTGATCTACTCACATTTGCATGTTTTCGAACTGCTAGGTTGGCAGAAGCTAGGGCTGACAGCGGAAGCTCATGCCGCTCCCCGGAATCGAACCTGCGACCTTTTGATCAACAAGCTCAGCAGCTCAGTGCTTTAATCCACTGCGCCACCGAGGGCTCTGAAATACACAGTACTGTATATAAAATGGATAAAGGATCAATTAGTGTCTTTTTATTTTTGAGATCTCAAAGTAATTGCTATTTGCAAGTCCTTACTAGGGGAAGAGCTACTGAATCCTATTACTATAACCTATTTAAAAGTTCTTTGTGTAGACCCTTACAAACAGTTCTGCCTAAATTTATGAAATAAATGAAATCTACAGCTCTATTTTATTTGATTAGTTTCACAGAATCTGAAAAAGCTAGAAGTTTGCCAACACTATTTAAAAGCCATCCTCTTCTACTTTCTATTAGTAGGTTCTATAAATCATTATTTATCAAACCTTTTTTTAAAAAAATGGCTTTCTATTTTAATTTAAAAGGATCAGCTATTAATGTATTAACATACTCTATTTCAAAAACTAGTACATGACAGGCAAATGCATAGAATCTATAGTGAGAGATACTAGCTTTCTTAGTGGCCACTTAAGCTGATAACATTTTTATGTAGAGCTCAAGCCCATGTTAAAAGCAAAGCAGCAAGGGGTCTCAAAAGACTGCATCCCTGTGTATATAGCAAAGGAAAAGAGGGAACCCCTGCCATTTTTAATAGTGGATAGGTTGAGGAAATGATTTAATGGACGGCATATAACTGTTTTAAAATTACAGTGAATCTGATCAGAATTATTGTTTCAGTTCCACTGATTTCAACAAATCAATTCTGTAAAACTCAAATCAACCCATGCTTGAGTTTAGATATTGGAGACACAGTCCCCTATTTCTCCTTCCCTCTTCCTTTTATTTATTAACACGCTACTTCTATCGGGCCTAATACCACATTTGGCCAAATAACTTTTATTCAAGAAGGTGAACTTCATTTGTTTACAACCCAAAGAGTGCCAATCCTATGCAAATATCATATTATTTAACTAACAAATCTCTCATCTATAAAACATTATGATTTTGAAATTTGGTATACATTGCAAAATTTATTAAATTCTCAAGTAAAATGGATTGTACCATATTATTCAAACGGATCTCATCGGCAAGGGCATTTTAAAATTGTTACTGATTGTCCATTTTTCTGTTCAGAGATTATGTCTTGTCATTCAAACTATGCTGCGAATAATTTTGGTTTTTTGTTTTGAGGGCTTTTTTAAAAGGACAAAGTCTGTTTAGAGCTACAAATAGACGCAGGCCCGTAGCCAGGATTTCGATTCGGGGGGGGGGGGCTGGAGTTTGATTCGGGGGGGGGGGGTGAGTCTGAGTGAAAGAGGGTCTACCCTAGCAAACCTTTTGTATCATTACCCCAATACCCCCATGCATATGGGATATATTGAGTATGGTGATCAGATCATGATATGAATAAACATAACAGTTTAAATAATGCACCAGTAAGGCCTTTTCATGAACCACCATGAGAATTTCGGGTGGGGGGGCTGAAGCCCCCCAAGCCCCCTTCCCCTGGCTACATGCCTGTATAGACGCATCCAAATTCTAGCAATTTTTAAAGTTATCCTCCAGCAGAAAATACCTGATTAGAAAGAAGAAACACCTCTATAGCAATGATCAAAGCTTAGAAAAAATGCTTTAAAATAAAATGGATCTGAAATTACAAAATATATATGTTATAGGATTACTTTTATTTCTGGTTTGTAGTAACTTGCAGGAGGCGTTGAAACAGGGATGGGAATCATGCTGTCCACTGATTCAGTTGAATATATCCAGTCACCTCCACTGGGTGTTCAAAAAAGCTAGAACTAGATGTCCACATGGACGCACCGCTATTACTTTTTTAATGCCTTTCACAGGTAAATAAGTTCTGATATGGCCTACAGTTTATACAAATATAATAGATTCTATTATCCTGCACATGATAAAAGGAAATATGTTTACTATGTACCTACTGTAAGCAGGTACTGTATAGTTGAAAGTTCTGTTTGTGTGCTAACATTTTAAAGAGCAGATAAATTCAATTAAAATAAAATAAAGATTTAAAAAGAATAAAATAGCAGAGCATTTCACTATAATTAGTATTGCATTTTGAAAATCAAATGACAAGCATGACATAACTTTTATCATCGTGCCACAGTGAAATAGTCATACATTTACAAAAGAACAAGTAATACTTACTCAGATTAGTCTCACAAAGCTGTCTTATATTTTCTCTTTACTGTACATCTAGAGCCGAGATATCCTATTCCTTATTTATCAGTGTATTTCGTTCAGTTTGGCTCCAAACACTTTGCAGAGCAGTGAGCGCTTCACTATATCTGAGAGACACAAACTTCCCACACAGCCGTCCTGAGGGTCAAAGCAAGGGCAGCTGCAAGACCACATAAATCAAATAATAACTGAATCATCAGGGACAGGGGCCATTAGGACCCACACGTCACATTTTCCCAACAGGCTCTCCAGCCAACTTTCTAAACTTTTCTATTGCACTGCTTTAGAGTTTGCTGTTTCCTCATTGGAATTGCTTCATATACTGACAACGTTGCACATTATTAGTACAGATTGTCCATTCTGGTTAACAGAAAGGCGAATGGCAGTCATTTTGTAACATGAAACAGTTTGGTGAAGTGGTTAACATACCAGATGAGAATATGAGGGACCTGAGTCGCAACTACTTTCAACCACAAAAACACAATGGTTTGTGGTTGTTTGTGGTTAAACCTAACTCTTATCACAAGGCTGCTGTAAGAGGAGAAAAAATATGCCATCCTGTGCCTTTTAAAAGAAAATGCAATAAATAAATAAATAAATGCAATAATACTCATGTCTTGGGTTAATTCTAATTCTTTATCACAGAATCATCTTGCTCAATGGACTTTACAAATGGCCCAGGCAACATTGTACTAGTAGCCTCCCTATATTTTCTCCCTAATGTTTCTGTCTTTTTTTCTTCCTCTTATTCCCCAAAACACTAATGAAAAAAGGAAGAATAGCTGCACAATGTATTTTTATCAGTGATGGGAGAACACCACATCTAGAAGCACACCATAGACTACTGCAACAGCCTGTTCTGGGGTTTGCCTTGGAAGCCTCATCTGATAGAGAAGGTACTAGGGGTAAAATTTTAAGGCCATAGCACTACGCCAGTTCTGCATCCATTTCACTGTCCACCTGTTCCGTTCTGTGGCAATCCAAAGCATTGCTTTTAATTAAACAACAGAGGACCATGTATGTCCTGTTGAACCTGGCTGGAACATTCAGATCAGCTGCTGTCTGGAGGCGTATTTGAGTGCCTGCCAGGACAGGTAGAGAGGCTGACAGGAAAAGTACATAGAACTTTCTCAATGATTGGTCCTAACAGAAACCCTTCACTCATACAATAGGTTTATCCCCCTCCATATTCCCTCTTAAGTAGCCCTAGAAATATTTTTAAATAATTGAAAGTGTTGGTCAGTAGTTTTAGTATGTTCATTTTTGTACCCTTGGTTTTAGTTCTTATAACCGTTTTGATTAATGACTTGCTAAAAATTAGGGGACTGTATTTTTATTGTTCTTAATGTTTATTATCCTTTTAATATCAAAATGTATTTTCACTGAGGTTTTTATTTTGTGTACACCATATATATTGAACATTCTTTAGGTCAATATGGACATTATTCTTCATGTGTGTCTTCAAGCTGTTTCTGATTTACAGTGACCCTAACGTGAACCTATCATGGAGTTTTCTTGGTAAAGGTTGTTCAGAGGGGGTTTGCCTGTGTCTTCTTCTGAGAGAGTGTGACCTGCCTAGGGTCATCTAGGGGGTTTCCGTGGCTGAATGGGGATTTGAACCCTGGTCTCCATTATCATAATCCAATGCTCAAACAACTACATCACACTGGCTCTTTGGGCAACAATTGGTCCTCCGCATATTGTTGAACTTCAATTTCTATAGCAAGCATGGTCAATGATGGACTGACACCCAGCAACATCTGGAGGGACACAAGTTGTCTATCCGTATTCTACATAATATATTTTCTATGGGGCTCTGCTGTCTTAATTGAATTAGGGAAGGTTTTTCATTTCCCACTTACTCACTTTCTCTGAAACAACAAGAAAATTCATAGAGACATCTGCTTAGCCTTCAGTATTATAGCTCAAGTCCCAGAGGCAAAGTCTCATCAGGTTAAGAAATTCACACCCTTGTTGCAAATCAATTTCAACAATATATTCAACAACATGAGAGATCAATACATTTGCCTCAAAAGGAGCTGAGTTTCCTAAAGCCAACATTACTTGCCTCCTTGTGGCATGTTCTTTCCATCTCCATATATATATAGAGAGAGAGAGAGAGAGAGAGAGAGAAAGAGAGATAGTTTTACGCTGGTGGTTTCCGTGAATTACAGTCACCTTTGCTCTTGTATCAAGCAGAGCCAAAACTCTTTGAATATTTCCATTAAACCAATAAATGGTTAGAGCAAATGTGGATGCTGGTCTCCAAAGATAATTGTCTTTATTTTCAGAGCTTTGCCACATCTCTAATCTACAAGTTGAGAGAATGTTATCACTTCACATGTGTCAAACAGTTTTGTAGCCAGTAGGTAAACAGTAAGAGGGTCAAGAATATATTGGTCAAGCCATGTGCAAGAACCTACAATGGGATAGGAAACTCAGAGAATGGGATGTGTGCCCCCAAGTTAGAAGATGGAATTGGAATCTGAGTTTATTATATAAGTTTTGTTTTTTAATGTCAACCCACATCCATTAAACCTAGTCAATGTACTTGGTGTTATAGATGGGGGACAAAACATCTTCATTTTGGTATTGAAACAGTTAATGAAATCCCTGTTCCGTCCAGCTGGATCATCTCTACATAAGTGACCCTTCCTGCCAGATTGGGTTAGTGGATTGTTTACGCCACTTTGGTAATTAACCACTATCTGCCTCATTAATGAAATATAAACCACCTCTCCGATTCATTTATAAAGCCCTTGTCAAACATTTAAGCTAAGGGCAAAATCTCAGCAAAGCAGCAGCCCTTACATAGCTACTGGGACTCTGATCACTGGTGGTCGCTTTGTTGTTCTTCTTCTTCATTAAAAAATAAGAATTTAAACCATGGAGTAATCTATTGGTCTTGGCTAGCCCTCCAAGAATCCATCTGTGATCTGTCATTTAGAAGAATAATGCCTGGGCAATTATGCTGCCCCATCCCCTTTCCTCCTACTCTTCATCCAAAAGACTGACATTTCAACTGTCAACAATAAATCGTTTAACTATAAAAGCAAGAATGGGACCCACAGGCAGCACACTTCCTTAGAAGACTCCCTCTTCATTTTCCTTCTATAACTGTTTCATATTGAAAGAAGTCATGTTGAGATGCTACCATCCCCTTACTGCATTGTTTGTGTAGTCCCTAAAAGCCCAGCTTGACAAGCCTACTGAACTGCATTCCCCAAAAGCACACTATCAGAGTTATGATCATAGTTATGATCATATTCATAGTGTGGTAATAGCATAGATTAGGAAGGAAAGCAGTCTGCTTTAATTAATATATAGAATTAAATGAAACATATCAAAAGGGGGTTAGCAAAAATAGAAAGGAGACTGGAAACCCAAGTCCTTTAGGAAACAGCTGGGCATATAAACCTGAAAAAGACAGTTGAAAAGTATATGCGTTATCTATCTTCAGATATATGAATTTCTAGTCTCCTTTCTATCAATCAAATAGATACTGCATTTCTGCATACGCAACCTCACAAAAACAACCATGTCCAAATGACATGATGGTGATTCTTTCTAAACACTAGGGAGGCCAATCCAATGGTTCACCTGTTTAACAACCGAATGGTTCAGTCATTCAGCATTCAAGACAGAAACTGAAGGTCTATCTCTTCCTGCCCAGTCAATATTAAAAGGCAAATTTCGAAATTGTATTTTAATATATGCAATTGTATTGTATTTTAATCCTTGCACTATGGATTTTAATATATGTACTATGTGATGTGTATATATATTATGCTATGTGCCAGAAATCAGCTCTGAAATATGTTTCATAAGCAGTCAGAAAGCACCTATGAATAAATGCAGAGTGCATTTCAGTGATGCCAGAACTGTTGCACCCACATTTTGTTCCATGAAACATTAAAACAGCTGTTTTACTCATAGTATAGCAGACTGAGTGACACTGGATGATAGGGAGAATGTATGTGTGAATGTATCCTCAAGACGCCTGCTGGTGATTTATAGCAGGGATCCTCAAACTTTTTAAACAGAGGGCTGGTTCACGGTCTCTCAGACTGTTGGGGGCCCAGACTATAGTTTGGGGAAAAAACATGAATGAATTCCTATGCACACTACACATATCATTTGTAGTGCAAATATATATATATGAAACAATACAATATTTTAAATGAACAATTTTAAACAACATAAACTTACCAGTGTGTCAATGTTAAGTGTGGGCCTGCTTTTGGCTGATTAGTCTATTAGGATTGTTGTTGTGTGTTTTCAAGTTGTTTCAGACTCAGGGTGACCTTAAGTTTAAAGTTTAGGGCGGAGGCCAGGCAAATGTCCTTGGAGCAAAATCTGCTAAAATCCCTGCTTCTGCATAACCATTAAAGGTCTAGGATCCTTCTCCAGTTTTGATCCTGACAACACTACACAAACTGAATTAAAAGGGTATCAGGATTACTATAAAAAACGTAACAAGATAAAAATAAATGAGAACCTGCAACAAATTTATACAAAATCCAGGAAAGTTTTTAGGCCTGCCTATGGCTGTGAAGTGAGAGAGCCAAAATTGATTAGTCAGAGAAGAGAGCTTCAAAGATAAGAAACAAGAGAAAGTACAGGGCTTTCTTTCTGGAGGGCCCTAAGAAATCTGTTTGATACCCTTATTTATTAATGTTAGCTGAACTTCACCCACTTTTTTACCAGGGCTTCCTGTGATTTTCTCCATGACTTTTTTCTGTCATCATATTATATCCCTCACCTAATGTTATGCAATTTTAACAATATTGTTGATAATTTATGGTATACTTCCATGGGAAGGCCTGCTCCAAAATATTGTTTCTATACTTCATTTTAACTTTCAGACAGATTAACAAAAAAGCAATATTGACCAACCAAAATGCACAAAGCAAACTTTCAAAGCTCTGCTAGCATATTCATCAGACAAAAGAAATTTTTAAAACACATGGGAGAAGAAAAGTGATTGTGTTGGAGTCCCAGGTCTACATTATATATCACACTTTGTTTCTGTTGTTGGTCTCTAACTTATCTTGGTAGTTGGTAATGTTTCTGCACTGACATTGTAACATTTTTTCTTTTTGCTACATTCTAAGAATATATATTCTAGATTAAATACTCATGTCTGTAGTTTGTTTTATCCACTTGTCTGTTTTTCTCCTTCTGTTAATTATTGTTCTTGATATATATTTAATATAGGTCACTGGAAAATGATACAAACATTTATATGTAAACAGAGTAGACCTACTGAAATCATTGGGGTTTCATAGAGAGGTAAGTCACGCATATT